ATAGAGAGTCTGAGTTAAGCATGGGGATTACATGTGATGGATGCTGTTTACATCTCATATTCAGACTGTCACTACTTTGTAGTTCAAACTTGTCCACCTGCTGACTTTTTGGTTTCTACTTTTTCTACTCATGTGACTGGTTTACATTACACATAGACTCATGAATCATGAAGTCCTGATCAGCATGTAAAACACAGTAACACTTAAAAACCTTAAAGCATGATATATCATTTCTATATGGGCCAGCAATACTGTACCTAGCAGGTGTGAGTGCAGTGTCTTGAGCACCAGGAGCAGTTTGCTGTAGACCTGTGAAGGAGTTGATCGCTCCTCGTGGCTCTCCTCCAAACACTGTAAGGCCAGGATAGTTCCCTCATCCTGCTGCTCTGTTACCCTCACTGACAGTGACGGGTACATCACCAACGGCTTCAACATGTTCTTCAACAGTACTTGACCTGAGCGACAGAAAACAACGGAACATAAACTTGAACTGAGCAGGTTTTGAACTTGGATACACTGTGCTTTAGGGCTAAATTGATAGATTATCCAGGCCCATATATCAGCTGATATTAGCTTATTCCAGATACATCAGTATCAATGTAGATATGAGCTGATATGTTACAAGAAGTTGCAGTGCAGAAATGCCAAAACTGTGCTTAAAAAACAGTGTCTCTATTACATACTCCACCGGAAAGCACTGACTTGTTTATTTTTCGACTGCAAAATGTCCCAGACAGTACATACTGAATGTTGTAGTCTCTAATGTGCTGAGAATATCAAATAAACAAAAAAAAAAAAAAAAAGTATCTGGAAGCTGCTTTTTTAGTTGATCATTAAGGTACTGCATATTTAACAGCGATCAGTGTTGCTTGTTCTTACTGAAGAGTTTGATCTTGTGCTGAAGGTCTCCCTGGATGGCCAACGCTTGCAGGACACAGCACAACAAAGCAGGTGGATTCGGTTCACCATCCTTACTGCAAGGATGGCTCAGGTTCAGCTCCACCTTCAGGAAGGACTTCACACCTGCAGGCTCTGGTGGTACAAATCCAACAGCTACTGCTAATGCAATTCATTCAGATATGCAGTTGTGTTTTCGAGAGTATGTTTTTGAAAGTCAAAGACCATCTTATAAAATGGAATTATACCTGACACACATATTGAAAAATTTCAACAACTTTTCTGAGGAAGTCTTACCCTTTGAGGATGGCAATCTCCAGATGACGAGGCGCTTCCATTCATCTCCTAGGTGGTAAATCAGGTTTTCTCTCTGCACTGTCAGCTCAGAGCTGAGAGTACTGAGCAGCGGCAGCTGGGAAGTCTTCCAGCCCTTCAATGAATCCACACTGGCTTTAGCCTGTAAAAATATATTACCCATCAATCAGCATGTTGAAATGCAATTAAGAAACAAGGTTACTTTAAATAGGCATGCATGTAGCATGGCAGTCATCAGGGTGCTTATTTCAACTGTATAAATGTTTATCCACACGGGAGGTGATTCGGCCATATTTTACGGTTGTCACATTTGACTGAGACAGTCTTTTCACAGGATTGAATGGAAAGGTGTTGCTGGTGTCACTTCACAGGACACTAGGGATGTCACGCGAACCAATACTTTGGTACCAAGTAGATGCGAAAATTCTAAAAATGTGATGGTACTTGTTCAATAGTACTGTTGGTAGCGAAGGTACAGCAGATGCCCTACTTTCTGACAAAATTTAGATTTAACTTTGTTTCCGACTGTCCAAATCATGCCTATGGCACACCAGCATGGCATCTTTTTCTTGTTATTGCTATTTTTCTGATATTCTCATTACTTTCTCTAACAAGTTAAAGCCCCTTTCCAGGCTCCCCTGGGCTTTTGATAAGTAATTATATCACAAAAAAATGCTAAGTAAAGTTGATGTATTTTCAGGTGTAAGACAGCCTGTATGAAGAAATTTACCATACACAGAGAAAGATAAGAGAAAGATTTTAGCTCAGTTTTCAATTTTCGATTAAGTGCCCAGTCTTAGTTCAGAGTAGAGGTAAGTTGTGTGGACAAGATGTAAGCAGCTCTTACCCTTTTCAGCTGGTTGGCTGCATCAACATACTTCTTCTCCTGTAAAGCTTTGCTGAACTCCTCCATTGCATTGTGAAACTAAGCCCCACAAAAGAAATGACACCAAAAGAAACATTCAAACGTGTAAATTATGGATGCTCAAAATACCACTTTTTCTCTGCTAATAAATCCTGAAAGCTAGACTTTTATTTAATGTATGGTAACAAAAACCCCCTATCTATTTGTTTTTTTCAGGACAATGCAGATGGAAACTTGTAATATGAGTTACTTAAAGAAAGAGATTAAAATAATAATAAAAAATTAAATTAGAATCATTTTTTGTGTGAATAATGTCACATTTATCATTCTCATGATTTTAAAGATGTGTCAGTTTTTCCATCTTATCTTGTATAAAGTTTGTTCATAAGACATATCCACACTATTTACAGATTACTATTTATAACATTATATTTGACTTGACTTTGAACTGTTCGTATCGTGTACCTCTTTTAGGTGTCCTAGCATTGTTATGATGATGGTATTTTTCTCCAGCTGCTGCTTCAGCTTTGCATACTCAGCCACAGCCACATGGATATTCTGCTGCACCTGTGTTCACATATACAAACAACAAACAGTTTAAAACTATGACACTGCTGTAGTAAATCCACCCCAAGAAAAAACAACAGTTTTATACATACCTCATTCTCAATGCAGTTTTTAAGGACATCCATTTCTTTGGAGACATCATCAACCTGTACCATTAGGTCCTCAGATCCTTGAAGACTTGGTAAGAAGTCACCATACCTCTTATTTATCATGTCACATACTTCTTCCTATAAAAAAAAGTTTATTGGGAATTTGTCAGTTTGTTTGTTTGAAACTTTCTGCAGTTTGTGTACAATTAACTGTGTGCATCATAATTCTCATCCACTTGTACCAGTCATTCTAGGTAGGCCTTTCTTTTCAACTATTGTCCATTATCCTGAGTTGAAGCATGGCAAATTATAGCTGGTTCAGTTTATGGAGCAACTGTGTAAACATAACACACACAACTGTTGAATAATAGCTTTAAAGAAAAGTGCATTCAATCAAACATATTGCACTTGCTGTAAATCTTTACATTTAGGAGAATGTTGGTCATTTATGTTGTATTGTAATGACTGATAATTGATAGATTTTTAAAATTGGCAGTTTTCGGGTCGATCAGTCGTTTGAGCAATTCTACTACTGTACACACATAAGCCTGTGTCCTCCAACTAATGCCTGACAGCATAAATAATTTTAGTAATCACGTTTCCCTTTTGGTTAATACAGCTAAGGAGAGGGTAATTTTTAACTAGTGGATGCACGCTGATACTTCTAATGTAAAGCTATTTTCTTAATGTTTCAAATGTGCCCTCATGTGTAATGTTTGTATATAATGGAGCCACGTAGCTAGTTAGATGGCACAACAAACAGCTAACAGTCTTGCTAACGAAAATGCACTAAACTCGCTTTAAACTAGCTGGAGAGGTCGCTTTGTATTAGCTAATCACGTCGCTCACGTTCACTTGCAGATGAATGTTATTTCAGAGAAAACCGTAAAAATCTAGCCAATGTCAGTCAGACATCTGTCAATGTTAGCGCTAACAGCTAACGCTAGTTCAAACTTTACTCTGTGCAGCTACTGCTATGCTAGCTAACGGATTACCTTTGTGTCTTCCACCTTGCGCGACATTTTGCTTATTTTACTGGATAGATCCTCTTTCTCCAGTTTGCCAGAGCTGGCGAGTACTTCAGTCACAAACGACGCCATACTTTAGCAATGTTTTAATATTTTTTCAAAAGTGTGACAGGTCAGCACAACAACTCAAGACCCGCCAGGTGGTGTGATTGGTTACGAGATGTTGGCCACTGGATCCTCCGCCTCCCTGACTTCTTCGTCGTTTTTATTGGATGACAAATTGCTATCATTACCGCCCCAGATGTTAGGAGCGTGTATAACCTGCCAGTCACATGGTGATTTCAGCTTAACTCATGCAAAAAAGTATAACAAGAAAACTGAGAAAACTGGAACAGAAATGAAACATGAAGGGAAATATATAAGGTAAAAAGCATGTTGTGCTGGTGCTGAAAGAATACAGGACAGAAAGGGAAAAAGAAAACATTATTACCTGTATGGACATAAATGACCAGTGGTGGAAGAAGCATGTTTCACCAGTGTTGTGGAAACCCATTCCAGGGAAAAGAAACATAACTTAAATTAAGTAAAGTAAGTAAAGAAATTAAAAAGAAAAAAATACATTATTATCTTTTCCAATTATGACTTTGGCCAAATAAGTATCTTGTAACTATGACTCAAGGAGACTTCAGATTGCGTTTTTAATGTTCAAAACATAAAGATTTTTTATTTACTACAATATAGACAGGTAAAGATATCAAATTCACACATTTGAGAAGCTGGAGCCATTAAATGTTTGCCATTTTTGATTGGGAAATTGACTGAGCAGTGTAATCAGAAATATGTTATTAGACAGAATTACTGGGTGTGTGTGGATAACATAGCATTACAATAGACTGTCTTACTGGGAAGTATTTGATTAGTTAACTATATAGAAACAGCATTAGCAGAGAAGTTGATCTTTGTGCTCTGTGGTTTCCCGTCAAACTACTGCTCCATTTACCACTCCAGCTCAGTAGGTGGCAGGTCTGCTCCTGAAAAACAAAAGAAGAAGAACTACCATTATCTCTATGGCAACGACAACTATCCATTTGCCGTGCCTTTTGCTTGACTGTTAGCCTGTTAGCTTCTCATTGTTGCTTTAACCAACAACATTTACATTAACTTTACATTTGTAAACACTGTGGGCTAACACACTGCATGTTGTTTTGAGTACGTAAAAGACAAAGCTAATAAAACTAGCTGTGTGCCAGCTCTAGCTAACCTCAAACCAACAGCGTTTTATGTTTACGTGCTAAATGTTAATGGCAGAATGTTGGAACACAGATACCGGAGAAGCTGTGTATCGATCCCGGGATGCTGTCAAAAACTTGAGAATAAAGTAAGTAGCTAAAGGTAACATTAGCATTTAGCCTAGCTACAAAACTCCAGTATGCTAACATTACTCAGAAGGATGGGCTCAGAACGCGTTATTTCAACACGGTATCTAATTGTTTCTTCACTTCAGGGTGCATATACAGAGGGTGACCTCCACAGCAGCCCTCTCCCAGCACCTCCAGCAGGAAGTTCTGTCCCAGCAAGACAGAGGAGCCATTGAACTGGAAACCCTCACCTCACAAGGCCAGACAGGTAATATTACTTCTACTGCTGGGAGATGGATGGACCGTAATGATTATTTCCACTGGAAAAATACTATTGGACAGTTTCACGTTTGCCCATAATCCACAAATTGTTTTTGTAAATGTACTGTACTCCTGTGTTGCACGTGTTAGCATTTGATCTTAAGTAAATATTGTAATTTTCCTGCTTGACTTTCAAACTGGTCAGGACTTGATGGTTTTAAATGTCAGGTGAGAGACCCATGACCAAATCAGTAGGCACTCCACTGGTAACTAACAGCAAGTAGTGATCAGTTTCAAAGAAGTTGTAGCTTTTACTCAAAGCACAGTATGTCTTGCCTGTGGACTCCTTGGGCTGTTTTTGGTGGAGAATCTGAGATCAGATACGAGTTGTGGTCACAAGAAAGAGGTAAAATTGACCTTGAAATATTTCTCCTGTTAAATATGAATATCTAACATGGAGTTATGTTACATTGTCTTTATTTTGTCAGGTGGTCACAGAAAGTAAAATATACCATGACACTAGAATGGGTACAAGAATCTAACAGACATGTATAACTTGTATTTATAAATACATACATATTTTAGGGTGGATGTTTCCTTCCAAGCATATTTTAGTAACTTGATATTTCTGTTACTGTCTCACCAGGTAATAATGAGGAGGAACTGGTGGTGGGCTGGCAGGAGAAACTCTTCAGTCAGGTAGAACTTTGTGCCTTTAGTTTCCTCATCCCACAGCAAATTGTAATGGTCACCTTCATGTAGCTCAAAGTGGTTTAGATTAAAAAGAAAACAACTATTACGGCCAAGAGTTAAAGCATTTTTTTTGCCAATTGTAGTTTACTTTACCTTGCTAAAATCTAGATTTATTTCCGTGTGTTCTGTTTGTGTACACCACCTCCTCCACCTCCTTGCCATCATGTCTCTCTGTCTGTGGTTCTAGTATGAGATGGAGTTGTTCCAGAATGAGTCAGCATGTCAGACCCCACTGGACCGGCAGTACCACACAGAAGTCAAGGCCCTGAACAGGGCAAAGGGCAAACGAAATCACAGGATTTTTACATATACTGATCATGACCGCTACACCAACTGTCTTCCACTCCACCAACTGGTAGGTTGTGCTGCATCCTACATCACACTGTCTACCAATAATTCACACAGCATTATAGTTTCATATATAAAAAGATAGAAGTCAAGCTCAAAAGGGATCCACTACAGACACAGTGATTAAGCAAATTTCTTGGGGTGTCAACCTAATCTGTCTTTGGTTTCTTAATCCAAAACCACTTTGTCCAGCTACCACTTTGTAGAGATGAGAGACATTTCCTGAAGGCATTGACAAACAGATTCAATTTTATTCTGTTGGGTGTTCTGTCATTTAAGTCTGCATCTTTGAATTTGTGACAGCTATAGCTTTTATGGTAAGTTTACCTTCTCTGACTACTTGGTGTGAACCAGACTTCTCTCCATACTTCAGTGTAAGTGCTGTAACTACAAGAGGAAACAGTTTTTCTCATATTGTATTGCACAACATAGTCTTTCTATGTGAAAATTATTGTGAAACCACAAATTCTACAGTTATTGTCTGCTACTGTGTTTGTGAGTAGATTTTGTTTTTGATCCTGAAAGCAGCACTCCACTGACTTATTGACCACAACCAAATCCAGCCCCACCTTCCTGGCTGTAAGGATGGCCAGCATAAGACACAGGCGGCAGGACAGACGCACCATGTAGGTGAAACACCAGCTCACTCATTTAAAAGGACTGATAACTTCTTCTGTCTTCCTTTGTATTCTGTTTACCAGTTTATGAAACTTTAAGAAACTTTCATCTAAATGATGCTTTCTCAAAGATGGGACTTGTCATTTTTAATGCTATGAACAGTCATGTAATATGATGGTCTGGTGTATTTTGCAGGGACTGTAATATCCCAAAGTCAAAAATCATCAACTGGGAGCCCACAGAGGAGTTTGTGAAAAGCAGTCATGTGGTGAATAATGCTATGCAGACCATGCACATCATGGCAGACCTGGGCTCCCCTGGAAGGTCAGACCATAACCACGAAGACCCAGTTTCTGTTCAGTTCGGTCTTTATTTCTGCCCATGCGAATTGATGTTGTGGATGTTGTGTGGTTCAGTGGTAATTTTCTCACCATGTATTTGCTCTCAGGCTGGGCCAGAAGGAAAATGAATGTTTGCTGGTAACCATAACATCAGATGGCAGTGGAACAGTTGTTGTAAAACCTGACTTCAACAAAGGCAAAGAGCCTTACAGGCAAGTTCAAAACATGCAACAGCATTGACTGATATTGTGTCATATTGACATGTTTAAGAACAAGTGTATGACCGATATTTTTAATGTCAAAGCTGTACTATGTCAGATTAGCAGCTAAAAGTCCACCACTTTGGTCCAGACTGAAATATACCAACAAATACTGGATGGATTGTGTGGAAACAAAGAAAGCAAAGCTATCTTTATCATTTAATATAAAATATATGATATTTGATTAATCAAAAGAAAACCAATATGGTGTGTGTGATGCTGAGCAGGATTTTAACAGAGGGGGAAAAGAGAGAAGTTTGGCGTCTTACCCTGGAGAATGTATCCACGTCCATGAAAACAGAGGAAAAGGACAGGGAGCAGAACATGTACAAAGATGTGAGTTCATCTTCATCACCTTTTCATCAGAACCAGAGAAGAATTGTAGAGTATAGCTTTAAATGATCATGTTCATATTATTGATTACGGAGTCAAATGATACATATATTATGACATGGACACATCAACTTTTCTATGTTTCTAGCTGTATGTAAGGCACAAGGAATACCTTAATAGCCTCGTTGGACAAGACTTTGAAATGGTAAGTTATTTAAAAGGAAAATGCCCAATATTATTATTATTATTATTAAATCCTATATCTAAAAATGAAATTGCATTGAGAACTGAAACTGAAATCCTCACATTTGAGATGCTCCAGCCAACAAATGTTTGGTGTTTTTGCTTGAAAAAGACTGATCAAGTATTAACACTAGATTAACAACTGGCCTTGAGAAGGCTTTAATACTAATCAGATATCTCTCCTCTAGCCTCCTGTGGGTATTCTGCGTTACCTGATGAATGGAGAGATAGGTGAGTAGGAAGGCTGTGCTCATAGTTCACCTTTCTAAATTAGCAATCTTTGGCAATTAAATCTCATTCTTCTTTCTACCCAGTCTCAGCTAAAGGTTTTGAATATGATAACTTATACATCCACTTCTTCATGGAGCTGCCCAACAGTGAGTCATATACAGTATATGGCACTATTTACATTGTGATACTTAGGTGTTGTTGACACTTTTTAAGTCAGCTAAACTAAATTCAGTTTACCACTTCAACTTGTATTATTCTTGTTTTAAGATTGGTCCAGCTTGCCATTCCAGTCTCTCTCAGGGGTTACCCAGACCTGCCGAACCAAAACATTAGGGAAGGTGTGTATACTGTAAACAAAAATGGTGAACAACCTCAGAGCATGTCTACTGAGATTTGTCAAACCATCAACATTCTCTCTGCCGACAGGAAAACGTAGCTTTCTTCAGTTACCCCTTCAACTTTGAGGCTTTCTACATGTGCGAAAAAGAGAGTGAGGGTTAGTATCAGCTATTGTATGTTGTGTTTAAATTATTTATACATGTGTTTTATGCATGTAAAATGCTAGTGAATTTGTTTATTTGAATGATATGTAGCAACATTTGAAAGATTAGACTGATACATGAGTTTTCTCCTTATTTCAGAATCAGTTCCCCAGTGGCCAGTGCTCTACTTCAAGGTTCTTTCCCTGGACACCTGGCAACGCTATCGAACTGAAGGCTATGGCTATCTGCTTTTTCCTGCCATACCTGGTATGATGTGTATATTGAAGCTGTGGGATTAAAATTAGGGCTGCAGTGAACAATTATTTTCATGATCAATTAATCTTTTTTTTTTTAGAAAATATTGAAAAAGTCCCATTATTATATTATTATTATATTATATATAATATTTGGCATTTTTGCTCAAAAACATTTAATGATTGCTCAATTATCAAAGTAGCTGCAATTAATTGTCCATCAATTGACTACTCAATTAATCACTCAGTTGTTTCAGTTTACAAGATATTCTTTTCCATTCTAAATTTGGATTTTTATTTTTTATTTTTTTTATTTTTTTTATTTTTTTAAGAAGACACTTGTGTCACTGAAAGAAACTGTATATCTTTACAGTTTCTTTCAGTGACACAAGTGTCTCCTGTTGAGATTAGAAATGTAGATGCCGAACTAATGACTAATTCACTTACAAAGCAAAGTATTTACATGTTTCATAAATTGTGTGTGTGTGTGTGTTTATATACCAGGTAAACATATAATAACATGTAATACGTGGAGACCTCTTCAGACGGGGACAGTGTCTGCACTAAGACGCTTCTTTATTGGAGGTTCTCCAGAGCTTGAAGACCAAAGCTACGTTCGAATTCCAGGGACGTTCAAGGTAGGCTCAAAACTGCATGCAAGCTTTCAAGGGATGGTGTGTGAATATGTACAATTAACCTCATCATTTTCATTTTTTGCCAATTTTTATTCAAAGATGCACAGAACTGGATTTAACCCGGATTTTATGTTTAAATACATTGAATAGTCGCACCGCTTTCTTTTTCTGAGTTTGAGTAAATAGGGTCACCCGGTGGTGAGGACACTTCAGAATAAACTTCCAGCAGTAGAAAGTGAAGACAAAAATAGTAGAAAACATAAAGAAAGCTGGAGATTCTGCTGCAGTTGATTATTCTGAACCTGGAACCTGTACTGTTTGTTTACATGTTAAGTCAATAATGACATTGAAGAAAGTTTATTTATTTTAATTTTTTTGTACCTCTATATGTGTCTAGGGAGACAGACTGAGCCGCTTTGGCTTTTGCACTGAAACCACAGGAAGTGTCACCTTTAATCTGCACTGCATCCAGCAAGCCAGGTAAGTCATGATCAAATTAACTCAGCATTGAAAGGAAAAAACACTAAATTTCTGAGGTTGGTGTGCTCTGGATATGCATGGTGAAGATTTATTATTGAGTCCTATAGCCAATTGTATATATTATTTTCACTGCAAAGGTTAATCTACAATATCCCACAACTCTCCAGCACCACAGTGAATTAGTAGGGAAGTAGCTATGTATATCATCAACATCATTCAGTGCATCATTCAGTCAACTTACCTGACCAGAACAACATACTGTACGCTGTTATAATTTTTCCCATGGTGCAAGATGTAATCATCAGAAGCCAAATTCAGGTCATTAAGAGTTTCACTAGATCAGGTGAAACTCTTCTCTTGAATCGAAACTCTTGAATTATTCAGCTTTTGAGGAAATGCATATCTTAATTTTGAACCTAGCAGTCAAACCACTTTCTTACTACATTTCTTACAAACTTTGTCCACATTGGGCTCATATGGCCATCTGTTAATACAGAAGATAATGCATTTAATATCAAAAGTCAGCTAAATATGTCATCATTTATCATAATATTAAATGAGTTCATTTCCTGTACTGTAGCTTAATGTGTGGTTTATTGTATCCATGTTGTGTATGTGTCAGGTCGTTTGTTGATGCCACCATGTTGAAGAAAAGGAGGCAGAAAGTTTTTGACCAGTTGGGAGGATTTAGTCAACAAGGAGCTGTCTGCACCATCCTTGGTAAAAACATTAACTCAGAACTACTTCATGTACCTCAAGTTCAGGAGATGTACAGAAATATTTGAGTATGTATTGTTTACTAAGTATTTTTTTTCTCTGTCAGAGGCCTTCCAGAGGGCCAGGAGGAAGATGCAAGAAGCCAGAGAAAGTCTTCCCAGAGATCTAATCAACACCACATCCCAACTCAAAATTGAATCCTCTGCATAGGTGTGAAAAACATTGTTGGACTGCTTATCAAATGTTTTAAGTGCCTGAATGGCATAGACATACTAATGTGATCTTTAGAATCGAGGTGAGATTAGCTGCAAGTAAGAATTGCCATTTCAAATATTGCACCAATTTTTAAGTTTCCTGATAATGTAGGGCGGTGATGTGTTGTAACAAGTCTGAGAAAAGAAAATATTGTACGATTGCTATTTATTCTTTGTAAAAACTAACATGTCAGGAGGGGTAAAAATTGGGGTACAATATGGATTTACATGGTTATGATATGGTGAAGGAGCAAAGTATGGTGTGATCACAAACTTTATTTCAAACATGTAACAAGTATTACAATTGTGTAATATAGATTTTTTTATATCAACTGTTATTGTGTATTTTTGCCCTTATGATTATAGCTGCTGTCATTCAGGTTTTGCACAAACTTATGCTTGGACTATATGTTTTTATATAAGGTAGTTAAATTCCATATAAGTTTTGTGCACGTATACTACTGTGGCATGAATGGCATTGGAAGTAAGTAAGGGCTATTGTGGGTCAAAAGGTTTCTGCTCTGTTCTCAATAATTGTGAGTATTTGATGTTGTATGGAGCATCATTCAAGTTTTCTGCTGTTTAGAGTCAAATACTACCAGAACAGTCAACATCTTCTTTGCTCAGTCTACTGTTCAATACAAAAGCTACAACTCAAACGGAAAAGAACAGCAGATTGACATTTAGAACACATACTTTTCAAAGGATTAACTAGCTGCAAGTGTCACATGTTGCAGTTCTGACATGTTCGTGTAACACAAAAGACATTGTATGCACAAAATGTACTTTGTGGCTCTAAATGTTACATTATTTGCCATGAAATACAGAAAATAAAATTTACGTGGGCTATTATGTATTGTATGACTGTACTGATTTACAGCAAAAAGATTTTATAGACTTGATGTGACAATTTGTCACAAACAAGCCATACCACAAAATATGTTTTGACCCAGTGACTGCACAGTTGTGCTATTTAATCTAGCTGAAAATCACATGAATGTGAAGTTCTCCATCACTGTAAATCACCTTGATCTATGCCACTCAAACGAATGACTTTTACTGAAGCATCCACTTAAGTTAAATCTGGGGAACCCAAGAAAGCTATGCTAAGGACATTTCTGAGGGAAAATGTGTTACTGTTAATCCAACCACGACATTTGGATTTTATATACCAAACATACTGTATGATCAGTTTATATATGATGCATTAAATTACCCAACACTACATAAGTAGTCAATATTATCTCCATCTCGACCTACTACAACATTTACAAGTTGTGTACATGGTAATAAATCAATAATAATAGTCTAATAATATAATACAGTCACTTCAGGGTATAATATTATCACACTCCAAAGCAGCGATTCTGTACAATGAATACTTTTAGTTTTGAGACTTGACATGCTTACTGCTGATAATACTCGCGTGCCTGGGTTCCACGCTGACAGTCAGGACATCATTGAGATCCCAACCGAACCTTTCCTCACGTGCTACATTCATTACTATGGGAAATTGCAGAACAATAACCAGTCACGCCCGAGATCCATTGAATAGCCTTTACATTTAAATCTCAATTAAGATACAATACTTCCACTAAATAATATAACGTGTGGATCTAAACGACAGTGGAACAGAATGATCTGTCCACACCAACTGTCTGCCGTCGGTTATGGGTGGTGTCAATGCCCCTGTTTACCTTGCTGTGTGTGGTGTGTCCGGTTCTTTGCGTACACATACATTTAGTTCCTGTCCACTATTCGCAGATCCAAACCATATAAAATCTAACAATAGCCATCCATAAAGCATTGGATCAATCGAATTTGTCTGTGGCACAACCTGGCCAAATATGCACTACTTCCTTGGAGGCTCAATCTCAAGAGAGAAGCTTTCCAGTTTCCGGCGACAGTGAACGTACCATCACAATCCAGATTCTCCATCTTTCTCCAACCAAGCAAAGGGACCAACCTGCGTCTTACATCCACTGTAACTTAATATTTTCCCGCTGACATACACTCAACCAGGTATATGAAATGTTTTACAATTCACATTTATTGTAACGTCATTGGCATTTGTGTGTGATTTCGTGTCGATCAGTTTGCTGGGCAGGTCATCACCTACATTAACGTTAACAGAGTTCCTGTCAGCAGCAATGGAAACTGGGCCGCTGGTTACTTCTGTTTTAATGTCCGATTTAATACTGTAACGTTACAAGTCACACCTGATTAGAAAAGCCTGCTGATGCTCGTTATCCCACAGTCGATATTGTCTGCAGTTTGTCGTTATTAGCCAGCTAGCATCGCTAGTCTTGGGCTAGCGTTAGCGGCAATCATTTAACTGATGCATTTAGCATGCAGTAAGCTAACGTTAGCAAAGTTAAATTGCTGTGGTAATAGTTAATTGTAGCTAACTTGATGCTGGAGAAGTCAAACGTTGTCATGGTCAGAAACACTTTGTCGTAAATGGCACGTCTAATCAGGCTTATCGATTGTTTAACGAGGAAATTGATGATATATATAACTAACATATAACAGCCACGGTTAATTGTTAACGTTAAAGCCATAACCAGGTTATTAGCTACGTAACGCAAGCTTGCTAACATTTGTAATGAAGTAAACCCTATAACATAAAGCCAAATATTGAAGCAGACAAAGTCTTACCGTAAGATGCCGTTTGTATATTTAACATTGAATATATTTGTGTAGCATCCTACAAACAGTACAAAAAATCAGTACCCTGTTGGATTTATAAAAATAAAAATATCACCAAATTGTTCATAAAGTTTGTCCACAGTCCGCCGTTGACATTTATTTTCATTTTTATGTTGATATAATAGCCTCCACCTTTAAGGGAAGGCATTTAACCATATTGTGGAACCTAGCTGGCTGTTAGGGATTAATTGCTCCCATTCAGCCACAAAAGCATTAGTGAGGTTGGGAACTGATTTTGGGTGATAAGGTCTGGTTCTCTGTCAGTGTTCCAGTTCATTCCAAAGATATTAGATGGGGTTGAGGCCAGAGCGCTGTCTCTGTTAAGTTCTTCCACACCAAAGTGGGAAAACTATTTCTTTATTGACCTTGGTCACAAGGGACATTGTCATATTTGTGTGCTTCCAATTTTGAGGTTGGAACATTGTGTGTATGTATGATAGTAGGCCAAGGGACTGTTGTAAAGCCTGACAGTCCTGCCAGGTTTCAAACCTGGTACTTGTATCAGGCATAATTATTAGTCTCTGCTGGTTATCCTAACATTGCAATGATAGAGACTTGTAGAGGAGTTACTTCCAGTAAGCATGATATATTTATGTCTAAGTTAACTTTGGACCATTATCTAATCACAACAATATGACTTAGTTGCTGTTAATACCAATTTCCGAGCATATATCATCCACAACCTAACATAACAAACGTTATGGTAATAACACAGCTATAATACTGCGTATCTAATTACAGGGCTTTACTTCGAGCTAAGATAAAATGCATTTATCTTTAAGTTGACATGACTGGTTAAGTGTCACAAAATTTACCTGTTATCCATGCCCTACTGTGAATGAAGTTCTTTTCCAGCACCTAAGCTGCGCCCACCCCTTCAGCCACATACAGCCAGTCACAGTACTGGGGCACACCCACTCACCCTGTGATCAGAGCCAGTGGCTACGGCAACAGTCAAGAGCTTTTCCCTGCTGCACTCTTTTCTACAATATTATTAAGAGTTGCCATTATTGGAACTACTCACCAAACTTTACAGTTGGCACTGCATTTCATTGGGTAGGGTTCTCTTGGCGGCTGCCAAATCTAGAATGGTCCAAGGTGATTCATCAAATCATGAATGGTGATGTGCATTTGGCATTGTGCATGGAGATCTTAGGCTTGTGTGCTTTTGCTCCACCATGGAAACCCACATCGTGAAGCTGTCGTTGAACAGCGCTGACATTGCTCCCTGATGCAGTTTGGGACTTGCTAGTGAGTGTTGCAACCAAAGATTAGAAATGATTTGTAGTGCACCACAGGACTTGGCGGTCAAATTTTGTGAGCTAGTATGGCCTACCGGTTCACGAGAAGAACTGTTGTGGCTCCGACATGTTTCCACTTGACAATAATGGCACTTACAGCTGACTGGAACAAACCTAAGGGCAGAAATTTGATAAACTGACATATGGGAAAGATGGTGTCCTCTGACTGCGCCACATTAAAAAGTGGCTCAAAAGTGGTACAACCTATTCCAGATAAATTTGGAGGCAACACAGATAAACTAAATGGCTGAGCTTCATGGAGCTAATGTGGGATGTGATCATCACTACGCCTCATAGTCACACACCATCTCAGGGAGGAAGGAACAGTAAAAACATCTGGATATTGAATTAAGAAATAAACTATCATTCTTTGCAAAAAGGGAAATTGGGAAGGGCTAAAGGGAATCATTAATACACATTTTGCTGATAGGATAAATTTGTGTATTTCTTCTGTACAGATTTAAAGGACCACAATCATGACGGACTCAAAATATTTCACAACAAACAAAAAAGGTGAGTAAGGATGGCAGTGGTGCTGAAAAATCTGACTAGCTCTTTATACCATTATTATTTGTAAATTTCAGTCTGTCCAGTGAAAAATTAATTTAACCCATAAAAATTCAGTTTTCTTTAATTTCCACTTCCGGTAGCTTTAAGGTTAGAGGAACCATCTTATTTGTCACTATCTGACCGTGTGCTCAAACTGTGCTGCAGCCAAAACTCTTTGTGATTCCTCTGTCAGGGGAGATCTTTGAACTGAAGGCAGAGCTGAACAATGAGAAGAAGGAGAAGCGAAAAGAGGCAGTGAAGAAGGTCATTGCAGCCATGACTGTTGGCAAGGATGTCAGGTACAGTATAAAATTTGATCTTTGACATAAACCAGAAACTTCTATGAATAAGTTCTATAAATTACTATTTTCTAAGTTTACAAAAATGAGGACCCCCATCAGAAGGATGAGCTTTCTACTATCAAACAGTACTTTTGAGTATATATATATTGGCCTTTTGGGTGAATTGTTTATCACATTGCTCTTGATGTTAACATAAGAACAGCCTTGAAACCGTGTACTGTAAGCTTTGAGTAATTCATTTTGCTTTTTCTGTCAGTTCTTTGTTCCCAGATGTGGTGAACTGCATGCAGACTGACAACCTGGAGCTGAAGAAGTTGGTTTACCTTTACTTAATGAACTACGCCAAGAGCCAGCCTGATATGGCCATCATGGCCGTCAACAGTTTTGTCAAGGCAAGGACCTAAAAGAACTTAATTTGTTTTTTCAACTGTTAATACTGACAGGATTTTCTAACGTTTGACTAGATCTACACTAAGGCAGATAAATCCAGCAAATAAATGCTGTTTTTTTCCCATCCATGCTCAAATGAGAAAAAAATGCATTTTCAAATGTAGCTGCTGGCATTGTGTACACTGTCAGTCCCCCAGGCCAAGGAAAGTTAAGATTGTCATAAATTTTGAGATGTATTTTCCAGATAAGTAAAGTAATGAATTTCACAATGCCTTGGAATTGCTCTGACTTAGTTATGGAAAGATATTGAATTGCCCAATGAAATCTAATCAGTTTCAAGCCAAAACTGCCTTGCTTGCAATGCTCTCCAGGACTGTGAGGACCCCAACCCTCTCATCCGAGCTCTGGCTGTCCGCACCATGGGCTGCATCAGGGTGGACAAGATCACTGAGTACCTGTGTGAGCCACTGAGGAAGTGCCTGAAGGATGAGGACCCGTATGTGAGGAAGACGGCAGCTGTTTGTGTGGCTAAACTC